GCCTATACCACCTATAGACACTCTTCGGGGAATTTTCTCTTTGTTAGAGAAAATTCATTAGAAAAACTAAAATTCCTTGTCATTTAATTCATTTAAATTTAGTGCGGATAAATTCTGACGCAACAGCCCAAATAGTTGGTAAATGCTCCATTTCAAATTTGCAACTGTCAATTCGACAGCCTTTGTTTACGTTTTCATGAGTCACAGCTGATCGATCAGCTGTTCGGATGTTAAATGTGCTTTGCCGTTTTGTGGGAACACGAGTTTCACACTCAGTGCTGCCAACTTTTTCCCAGCAAAATAAGCTGTTTTTGACGGGAAGAATTCAGAAAAATGCTAAAAAAATATTCAAAAAAAACAAAAAATGTATAAAAAAAACAAAAAATGTCAAATAAATAACAATTTATCAAGGTAATTTTTGCTTAAAATATTTCCATAAACTTAATAAGATCTTCTTGGTCGTCCTCATTTGCGTATGACATATTAGTACCTATCATGCGCAGATATTTTACAGGCACTTCATAGTCGACGCACCAATACTTCGCAATCCTTTTCTGTATATTAAAATAGAAAATGAATACAGTATATCTTTTGCTTGTAAATAAAACTCTACGTTTTGCTTAGAATTTTGTTAGACGTGCTGAGGCCTATCGAGTTCCTTAATTTGCATTTAATTACATAGGTTAACCTGACTAAAAACGCTTTCAATTTCCGCGTTTGACCAGGGCAAACATAATATTTGGATGGCCACAGTTGCAAACTCAAATCTTCGGTTTCCACCAGAATCTTTAAACTAGAGCACCTCAAACCAAAATTTGTTTGTGTCGCTGATGTTTTCCCACTTTATCAAATTGACGTTATTGTATTGACGTTCAATTTCTGCATTATTCATACATTCCAGGAACTCTACAATTTCTGTGATGCTGACACTTTTGCATATTTTGTATTTAAGAGTTAACAACACAAAAAAGTCGGGAAAAAGCCAACTTAATTTCTAAAAAAGCCAGAATTCCCGCTTTTCACAATTCCCGCAATTCACAAATTTTTCCCGCAGTTGGTCTTCAAAAAAAGCCTGTTTTGACGGGAAAAATCCAAATTGGCAGCACTGTTCACACTTGTTAAAAATCCCAAACGTTGCTCACAAATGTGCTGTGTGGGAAGACAGTATTAGTAAGAAATAGAATGGAACACGAACAATTAGCGACATAGGAAATGGATCGGCGACATAATGGAAAATATTTGAATTGAATGCGCGCGCGCCAGAGATCGCGAGCGGAGGGTCACACTGGACCGAACGGAGGCTGGACAGACTATTTAGGCAAATCCCGCACAAGACTCTGGCCACACTGAAGCCTCGCCAGGGCCTATATAAAGCGGGCCACAGTACTGGAGAAATCACTTAGCAGCCGACTGCGATTGGGTCGAATTAAGCTTCCCAGTAGTTTGCCGCAAAGTCTCTTTTTAGGACCCCAGGTTCCTATAAATAAATCGTAGTTAGAATTAGGGTTGTAAAAATAAGTAATAAAAAAAATATATATCGTATCGATGATATATCATATTTTTGAAAAATATCAAATTGATATGTAAGGAAGCGTCTGGGTGGCCGGGGTAAAACCTCAGCGGCCCAGATTTCCCTCACAACATTTATATTTATGAGACGCCCAGAACGTAGAGCGCCAATAACTATTTAGGCAGATGAGGGGGTTGAGGGGAAAAATATGGGTGAATGATTTGCCGGCCGCGTGGAATTTTCCCAGCCGCGGCGGTTCGGCCTAGAGAGATAAACTGCCACTGTCGTCCTTGCAGTTCCTTGGCCAACTTAATACCTGCGCTACTTAAAATGCTTCTCTGTCCGGCCACATAGAGACAACGCAGATCCACCAACTGCAAGCCTATTGCAACAACAACATTGCCAACATTCAACTCTGCCAAATACACACGTCCTTGTACACTCATACATAATTTTGTAATAAATATTCGGTCTTATTCTTTCCTCTCGTTTTCGACATGAGCTTCATTCTAGCATGCTCAATGTTTCGCAACATTATTAGTGAGATTTTATTAAAGGTGGTATCCGCTTTAGGCATAATCCACTATTTCAAAGAACTCATTTCTTTCATTCTATAGAAATTGTCTTTTCAATCATTTGGAAATTTCGATTCATAATATGCAAAAATTGCCAACAGCCGAGGGTAAACTGTTTCCGCTACACACATACATACATGCATTCCAAATGGCGGCCATAATGGACGCGCAAATAAAGAATAAAGGCAATTGATTGGTACGTACATTTATTCAAAATGATTTACAGATTATTGATTATTATTAAAGTCTCCATAATTTTAAGGACGTCCTCTAGGACTGATTCTTCCAGAGAAGCTGCCTGAGCGGCCGGTGCTGTCGGAGCAGGTACTCCTCTTGGGCTTCTTTGGCCACGTGGCCCAACTCGTTGAATTATTCCCTCACGAACTGCGCCACCTCCCCTTGCGCCACCACCCCTAGCCGGAGGAACGGGGATGGCGGCATTTGACAGCGGTCGACCAGGTTGGGCGGTATGCTCCGGATCGGTAAAGGTGAGATTCCGTAGTTGTAGTTTGCCTCTTCGGTTGTTGAATCGTCCAAGCTTTCGAAATTCTTTTGCGTTTTTTTGCAAATCGGGCATGTTAAAGTCGATTTGGTATTTGTCAATTCATTTACCACTTTTCCATCGACCATGGTCAAGTGAAACTTGAAGCTGCATTCGACATATTTGCCTTCTTTGACCTCCAGAATGATGGGTCTAATAGCGTCAATTTCTCCTTGGATTTTTGCCACAGTTGTCTTTATAAGTTCCGGTGATTCCCTTGCGAATTGAAACATTATTGGGCGGCAATAATGAACGAGAAATTGGTGCTCCGGTAATCGAAAACGAAAGATTTTTTCGATTTGAAAAACGGGCACCTTTTTCTGGCCGGAATGAAAAGTAAATGGCTTTTTTTATATGAAATCAGATCTTATTTACAAAAGGAAAAAAAATAGTTTACTCAGTGGTCTATTGATGTTTATTCCACACCACCACAAGATCATTCTGGCACGTAGTTATTTTTTAAAAAAATTATTTCTGACCCCACCTCAGATTTGACAACAAAATTTTTGCCGTGTTTAACCAGTTTTCTCGTTTTGGCGATAGGTCGATAGGTTCACCGCAAAAAGTTATCGCCAAGGTTGCCATATTGTTGGTGGAACGAAACAGCCAGTTAAAAATACTTATAAAATATAAATGAATACATTACTAACTTTAAAGGACCGCCAAAATGTTTGTTTATAATTACTGCTATTTAATGTGATTACTTAAATGGTCCAAATTAACCAAATAATTATTTGAGACCACCGGAATTAAAACTGTGAAAAGTGTGGCAGCATCTTAGGTGCCTGGATTTGCTTAATTCTACCATTTTTTGCCTTTTTCTGGCTTAGAAAAAGGGCAATTGTAAATATAATAGGCAGTACTTTACGTTGTTTGCATTTTACCAAAAACACAAGTTAGCTGATTGAGCAGTAAGAAACGATGAGAAAACGAAACATTCCGATAGCAGAACTTTGCCGAAAACCGGAGCAGCTAAAAACGAAAACGGTTCGTTTTCGCCCAAAACGAAATCGAAAAAATTTTACGATTACCTGAGCAGGCCTGTATATATTATTTATAGGGTCTTCCCACACACCGTCAAAGCGCATCTGGCATCCGTTGAACAAACGGTCCATAAGGTTTTGCCGTTCCGAATTTTCTCAATTGGCCCTGCATCAAAGCGCATCTAAATGTAACGACCGTTTGTTTGGCGATAGTTCTTCGGTGCAACTCTGAAAATTTGACCATCACTACGAAAGTGTATACACACTTGGCGAGAAACAAATGAGATATGGAATTTAAAACGTGGCGCCAAAGCTACAAGCATGCCCAAAATAGTTGGCGTTTTTTTTGGAAATTCTTGCCCCAATATGTCCCCAATTGTTACTATTTAATAAAAACCACCTACCTCTACCTTATTTTAAAGATTTTGGATGCCTATACCACCTATAGACACTCTTCGGGGAATTTTCTCTTTGTTAGAGAAAATTCATTAGAAAAACTAAAATTCCTTGTCATTTAATTCATTTAAATTTAGTGCGGATAAATTCTGACGCAACAGCCAAAATAGTTGGTAAATGCTCCATTTCATATTTGCAACTGCCAATTCGACCGCCTTTGTTTACGTTTTAATGAGCCACAGCTGATCGATCAGCTGTTCGGATGCAGATGCACTTTGATGCAGCTCTGTGGGAACACGAGTTTCGCATCTGCGAAAAATCCCAAACGTTCCTCACAGATGCGCTGTGTGGGAAGACAGTATTACAGTGCAAAAACCTACCGGCGCGCCGGTGAGTTAACGTCGAAATGGAACGGTGGGAAATGGAACACTGAGGAGGTTTTTTATTTTTTAATTATTTCGTTATTAAGGCACTAATTCGAACAAAATAAAGTACCAACATGTTAAGAATTAAATTTACTATTGATTTATTTTGGGTTTGGGCAGTTTTGAGCAACGCTGGTACCTAAATTTTCCATTGGAAAAATCGAGTCCCCACCTTTTTTAAGATTTCGCACCCAGAGGATGTACCGCTAAGCACTGTAAGCCAGGTTTTGGGACACATATTCAAGTATAATCCCAGAAAGTTTCATTAAAATCCTAACGACAGTTTTTGAGCAAATCGCTCAACATTGGCCAAACCTATGGTTCCCCTCCATACAAAAACTGGCAGCAAAAGTTTAAGGTCGCCAAGCTTAGCTCTCAGAGGATGTACCACTATAACTGGTATATGGGCATATTGGGGAGCGCAAATAGAATATTTCCTTATCCGACTTTATTATTAACACTGGCTGCATATCGATTAATCCCATATCGATTAATCCGCCCTATCGATTAATCCCAGTCTGGCAGCACCAAATTATCGAAAAGCCCGCTATTCCTGTAATTGTTAATTCTGCGAAAACAGGCGAAACGAACAAAAGTGAAGCTACAGAAAGCTATTTTTTTATATACAACATTTTCCAATAAAACAACGTAAGTATATGACCATTTTCGACAATGGTTTTCTTTTATTATATATTATGTTCTTACATATTATGTTTTTTATTTAAATTGCAGATGGTAAAAAACGTCTATATAATTGATAAGACTGGCAGAGGACGTCGTGGACGTGGTGGACGTGGCGGACGAGGAGGACGAGGCGGACGAGGCGGGCGTGGTGGAGATGGCGGCGACGCTGGACGTGGCGGGGTCAGTGGCCGCGGAGTCGGCGGCCTGAACCGGCAACAACGATTTTTCTTGGCGTTCCAGGCGGCCAGGAACGTCCCCGTGTCCGCCGGTGAGCGCAAAAACTTGCAAAGGGCCTTTTTGGCCCTACTGCAGCCGCAGGGGCAGGAGCAGCAGCCGCAGGGGCAGGAGCAGCAGCGGCAGGAGCAGGAGCAGCAGCAGCTGCTCAAGGAGGTCTTAAAGGACCTACCTGAAGAGAAACAAAAGGAGATAGAGGCGGCGGTGTCGGCCTTTATATCCGGCAAGAAGCAGCAGGAGCAGCGCCAACTTGAGCAGGAGTCGGAAATGAGATTTCCTCAGAAATAAGATTTCTATAATAAGATAAATTTTCTTTTATCATTTGGTCATTGCCAACTAATGCCCTATTTGTACTGGCTTTCTTTATTATCCTATTTCTAAATTCAAATGCTGTGCTGCCCTTAATTTCTTGTGAAAGACCCCAAATAATTGAGAAGTCTTCATCAGCTGAGTTTTTGTAAGAAACTGATTTTATTCCATTCAAACCCTAGCTTATATAGCTAACATGAGAATGTACATTGTAGATCTTAGTTCTAGACCCACGCATCGGACAGTTCCCGATCGTGAGAAATATTTTAAGTACGATAAGGGTGCATACAGGCAACCCGATAGCGCATATCTTGAACAAACCCAGACCGCTCGCAGGAGGTCATATTTCGGGTTACTTGTTACATAGGCTCAAGTGGCGGTTGTATTAATAGATAGATATGCACATACAAGTGCTAGGCCGTGCTCTGCTGCTGGGACTTAATCGCTAACAGATGCTTCTTATCTAAAACCGTGTTCATGTTTGAACATCTTGCTTGGCAAGAAACCGGTTTATGGCCCTACACTGTGTAGTCTTTTTTGAGTTAATGGAGTGAGTCAAGTTTAATTTATTTGAAAAAACTTTAACTGATCCATTATAAGACCCTTTAAACATGTACAAATTACAGGATGGATCTGTGCAGTAGGCATAGGCTACAAAAGATTTTTGATTAAGTCGTATCGACTTAAAATTTATGGAGCATGCATTATTAAAGGAGTAAAAATTCTCCCTTAAGACATGCTCTATGCTTTGTTTTTTGGAAAATTTTGAACAGCAATCTTCAATTATTTCCTCAAAGCTCTGCATTTGTAGCTTTGCAAATAATAATCGGCATGGCTCTTTTACTCGAACCCGATTAGGACTGCATTGAATCATTTCTACATAAATATTTAAAGAGGTATTACCATCCCGACAAGCCTTGCGAAGACATTTCAATTTCGCTTCAATAAGGCTTTCGTCTATAGGGTCGGAAGGATTGGAAATAATGCTGGTCGAAAGATTTTGATTTATTTGGCTATTGTGATTTAAAATATCAAATCCTTCGGGAGTATCGCTTTTTGAAATCGGCGAAAAAACATTATTATTTTCACAAATTGGCGTCAATACTTTAAAGTTACAGTTCTTAAGAACTCTTTTGTAACTTAATAAAACCATTTTCCGCCAGTTTTTTGGATTATTTTTAAATTTATATAAATGTGTTTTTTTTAATAAATATATTTTGTTCTATCACATTAAAAATATATTTATAATCACCCTCTTCCAACCGCCCTGATAGGCTTATAGATCCAATCTCTACAGCCTCTTCAATTGCCCTTGTTATGTTATATCCTTTGGACCTGAAAATATATTAAATAAGAAAATATTATACATTTTTTTTATCGCGTTTATGAAGTAAAATTTAAAACAAGAAAGGAAGCTAACTTCGGCACCCCGCAGTTTGTATACCCTTGCAGTTTGCAATTGGATCATTAATAATCGATCCATTCTTGTTAAAAATAAAAGAAATCATATAAAAGTTGTATATTTATACATAGCATATAATAATTTGGTTTTGATTTTATACTATATTAAAAATTTTAATTCCCAGTTTTACATTTTCTCTACATCTACCGACTGCTTCTTTGGCAGCTATATGATATAGTAGTAGTAGTAGTAGTAGAATGCACAACAAACCCCTGCGGTTTGCAATAGGGCAATTAGAATTACTATATCTACTTTAAGTTAAAAACAAATATATTAAATTATTTTTTATCAATTTCACGATTTTACTTATGGCAGCTACATATGGGCTATACCTAGTAGGCCGATCTGACCGTTTCAATATACATATATGTATACTATCTGCAATAAATGAAATACTATCTCCAAAGTTTTGAAAACAAATATAACAAGAAAGGAAGCTAACTTCGGCACGCCGAAGTTTGTATACCCTTGCAGATATTATTTCATTACATTTTACCTATACTTATTACGTTTACAGTTTGACAGTTACAGTTTTACATTCACACCTTTACATTTTCTCTACATCTACCGATCGCTCCTATGGCAGCTATATGATATAGTTGTCCGATTTTCATGAAATTTATACCAAAATTCTAGAATAATAAAATAAGCTTATATCTCAGAGAAGATGAAAATACGTTGAAAAACAACGAAGTTATAATTTGTTTTCTATTAATTTCCCGATCGTTTCTATGGCAGCTATACGATATAGTCGTCCGATTTTCATAAAATTTTTACCAAAATTCAGAAATAATATAAAATGACCATATCTAAAAAATGGTGCAAAAATGTTGGAAAACAGCAAAGTTATCTTTTTTTTTCTAAAAATTTATCGAACATTTGTATGGCAGCTATATGATATAGTCGTCCGATCCGGCCCGTTCCGACATATATAGCAGTGAGAGCATATAGAAGACTATATGCAAAGTTTCATTCAGATAGCTTTAAAACTGAGGGACTAGTTTGCGTAGAAACAGACAGACAGACAGACAGACAGACGGACAGACGGACATGGCTATATCGACTCGGCTGTTGATGCTGATCAAGAATATATATACTTTTTAGGGTCGGAAACGTCTCCTTCACTGCGTTGCAAACTTCTGACTGAAATTATAATACCCTGCAAGGGTATAAAAATTGATTTGGCTGGTTCATACATCTATATATGCACACATATACACACATACATTCATACATATGTATGCACTTTATGACGTTGTTTTATTCTGTAATATAAAAATCAAGTTACAAGCAACAATGCAAAATATTATATTATATATAATATAAGGACTTATATAATATAAGGGACTTACTTTTTTTTTGAGAACTTTTCATTCGCTTTATGTTTCCAGGAATTGAAAACGATTTCTTCAGCTACAAACATGTAAATTACATAAATAAGTTAAAAATAAAACTATAACGTATTCGTATTCCACTTACCCATTGCTGTAACTTTATTTCACTTAAATTAAAACTTAAAAAACAGTAGAATTGTTGCGGAAAGATAAAACCAAGTTGTTAGCTTCTTCTCGCGGCAACAGGAGTTTTGGAATGTTGCCAGACCGTCGACAATTACGCTTGTCGATCAGTCAGGGCTGCAGAAGCCTATGAATACAATTGGATCTTAAAAACTAATTTTCTTAACAACTACTGGCTTAAACGTTTGGATATTTTTACCAAAATTTATTCAGAATTTTCGCTGTGACTTAGTGTACAGTGTTTGTTGGTACAAGCAAAAAAAAAACGCTACTTGTACCTAAATAATAATCGAAAAAGCAAGAAAAATGGATTTTCTGCTAAACGACTGAACGGATTTTGATGAAATATGGATTATAATGTTTAGAAAAACGATGTCGTCGTTCCCTTTGCATAAGTCGTATCCAAAAGATAAAATGAAATTTAATTATATATAGGCAGCCAGGGCTGCCGTATACATATATTATTCGCTTGGTACATATATGTAAATAAATAGAAAAAAGGTGTTTTCTCCTGAACGACTGAACGGAATTTGATAAAACACCTACCAAATTGCTTAAAATGACAATGTCGTTTATTGGGCATTCATAATTAACTCAATTTTTTAAATTGTCAATGGAAATATTTTCTGGCGGGGATTCATCGATAGGGCGTAGCGCTCCCATCGATATAAAATCAGTGTTATTTATGAAAATAAGAGAAACACTTGAATTTCTCTAAATCTGTCGTTAGGATCTCGTTCAAATTTATATAGAAAATCATAATTAATTTTCCCATTCGTTTGATGTACCATGCATGTTGGTACATCCTCTGTGAGAGTTGTAATAATAAATTAAAAGTTAGCGTCGAAAACATGGTTGGCGCATTCAATTGGTGAGAAACATGGGTTGTGTGACGTCACACGTTTGGCGATCGGTGGTTTACTTTGCTTACATAAAAGTAAATAAATGAAAAATTGACGTTTTCTCCTGAACGACTGAACGGAATTTGATAAAACACCTACCAAATTGCTTAGAATGACAATGCCGTTTATTGGGCATTCATAATTAACACAATTGTTCAAATTGTCAATGGAAATATTTTTTGGCGGGGACTAATCGATTTATTAAAAGTTAGTTCGGTTCTGTGGCGCGCTGAACCACTGGCTCACGACCGGTTCCAGTTCCGGAGTTCGCACCTTCCTAACAGCCATTTTGAATGGAAAACTGTAAAGCAATTTTCTCAAAATCTGTCGTTTTGTTTTTAATAAAAAGTTCACCAAATATTCTATTTTCGCTCCCCAATATGCCCATATACCAGTTATAGTGGTACATCCTCTGAGAGCGAAGCTTGGCGACCTTAAACTTTTGCTGCCGGTTTTTGTATGGAGGGGAACTATAGGTTTGGCCACTGTTGAGCGATTTGCTAAAAAACTGTCGTTAGGATTTTAATGAAACTTTCTGGGATTATACTTGAATATGTGCCCCAAAACCTGGCTTACCGTGCTTAGCGGTACATCCTCTGTGGGGGTGCGAAATCTTAAAAAAGGTGGGGACACGATTTTTCCAATGGAAAATTTAGGTACCAGCGTTGCTCAAAACTGCCCAAACCCAAAATAAATCAATAGTAAATTTAATTCTCAACATGTAGGTACTTTATTTTGTTCGAATTAGTGCCTTAATAACGAAATAATTAAAAAATAAAAAACCTCCTCCGTGTTTCATTTCCCACCGTTCCATTTCGACGCTAACTCACCGACGCTAATTTGACGGACATCAAAAAAGCGAAGACAACGTGATTCGGATGAACAAGAGAAAAATCATTAAAAATAAAAGCCATTTGTTGTAAATATTATTTAAAATAAACTAAGGAATTTACAATTTAATATATAACATAACAGGAAGGACCTGACCGCATATCCGTTTTTAAGAGGTCGACAAGAACAACAAGCGCGGTTGAGGCCTACAACTTAAATTTGGGGAAAAAAATTCACTCGAAAGGCCATTTTTTCAAGTTCGTCAAATTCTTAAGAGATGCTGAGTACGAAAAAAGCAGGGAATTTTCCCTTTTATTTCAAAACGGTGGAGTGGGAAATGCTCCACAAAAGCGCCATTTAAGAGTAAGTTCGCATATATTGGTTAAATTTTAAAAAATATAGAAAAATAACTTTTTTATTTCTTTCTTACAAGACCGTTCTCAGAAAATTATGGATGCAATGGATCTTCTGGGGATAAAAGAAATTGATGTT